TCCATCCGCTCATCATTGTCACGTGAGGAGTGTCCGATATGACAGGCATGGCCGCTTTGCCAGCGGACAGGTTCCAAAAGATCAAGTGGGGCAGATCGTAGCCCGCCTGGTCCCACTTGCGCTTGATAACGGAGAAGATGGTTGCTGGACTGGTGGTAGCAGTTTGAGTACCGCTCATTCCGAATGACGAGTCGCAGGCGGCATTGAAGTGCATATCGGTGAATGCAACGCAGATCAACTCGCCCGTCTCTTGCTTGGCCATCTTGCTTTGCTGCGCCAAGTTCAACAAGAGATCAAAGACGGCTTCAAAGTTGGTGCTGTAGCCCATGGGCAAGTGTTTTTGAAAGTGCTCCACGGTTCTGCTGAAGGACTTTGCTTCTGGCAATCTAACCACCTTTGGCTCTTCGCTGAAGGAAATCACCCTTCCGCCCCACGGCTCGGGCGCCAACTCGGAGAGCAAGAGGGACAGACCAGTGGAAATGTGGATGGGAGTCAAGCCTCTAGTGTTGAGCCGAGGTCCCCCCATGCTACCGCTCAGATCGCACACTGCAATCATCGGTCTGATCGTCTTGTCTGCATCGCCGGCGATTGTTCCAGCATCGACCTTGGCTTGCCGCGTTGCCTCCATCTCTGCCATCAATGTCCGCTTCATATTCTCCCACTGTCCATCCAACAATTGCGTTTGGGAAGCTACGATTTGGTCTCTGACTTGTGTGCTTTCTTGCGGTGGCAACTGGTCCAAGTGTTGGCGGATGCGTGCATCCAGAGCACGCGCTTGATGCAAAGCCAAGACCAATTCTCCAGGCGTTTCGCTAGCTCCTGCAACGGTGCTCTTTCCTTCCGCCACCCTCTGCGCATATCGTATCATGTCCGACAAGGCGTGTTTCCAAAGCAACGCTTGCGAAATGTTGAAAGCTCGAGCGGGGATATGAGGCAAGCTGATCTTGCCCTCCCACGAACCTTGAACCATGCCCTGTTCAGGAACCTTTTTCGCCCTGCGAAGCTTGAACAGCAAGGCCCTGTACTTGGCATGCGCGTCGCGTTGATCCGGGTACAAAGCCTTGGCCAAGATTTGCGCCAAGCCGGTCTGATTATCCACACTGGCTCCTTCAGACGGCGCCCACTTGCCAGCGTAGCTCAGATGGTCTTCCAATTCGCTTCCATCTCCCCCCTCTTCCATCCTCTCCAATCGTCCCTCATCCTCCCTCAACTGTCGCACAAACATCTTGACCACGGTCGCGTACAATGCTCGATACTCGACGTTGCTCTCCACAAGTTGACTGACTTTGTTCGAAGCCTGCTTGGCCGCGCTCCGCCTGGCTACCGCGGCCGCTTGCCTCCTCTGCTCATCCATCCTCTTGGCTTTGTCTGCTCTTGTAGGGCCCGGCTGCACAAGCTCACCGCCGTGTTCGAGCGTCCGAGTGTCGTCATTGCTCTGCTTGCTTTTGCTTGTACGGCGCTCCTTCCCAGCCAATCTATGCGGTGCCCCATCCAAAGTGGTTTTGCGCTTCAATGTGCGCTCGGGCAATTGTTTTGTTGCGCTGGCCAATTGCTCCATGCTCAGATGGGTGGTGAGCGATTTGGTAGCGATGAGGAGAACATTGAGCGGATCTTTCCAGCTGCCGTGCAATCTGGCCGGTCTCTGCACTCTGACCATGACGCCATTTCCCGCATCGAAATCCTTCGAGGTTGGCAGACCAGCATGCGCTACGAGGAGCGGCAAAAGGGAGCCCAACAAAGTCTTTGGATGCTCAGCGTACATCCAAGCCGCAGCTCGCAAGAACCATGTTCGATCGCCTGCTCCTGCAGCGATGCTGCGAGCATAAAGGATGAGCCTCAAAGTCGACGCTGCATCTTTGCGCCAAGCTTCTTGCAAACTCGATTCCAGCGCCTCGCCCCGCAGACTTTGATCCGTCAAACTGCTAAACAGATTCAGAACCGCATCTCCCGTACTCTCAAAAGCTCCAGCATTGTTGGCAGTCTTGGTCTTGTTCGCTTCAACGTCTAGTGCCTCCAAGAGAGCCGGTTTGCGCCTCGAGGGGGAAAGGCTTGTCTCGGCGGACTGCGCGAGGATGCGGTTGGGCAAGAGTTGATCCAGCGCTGGAGCGTTGATGACTAGTTGAGCTGCATGTTCCGAGAGAACTGTATTGCAACGTGTGGAAGCCATGGTGTACGGGTGCACGTCTGATTCAATGCCGTTTTGCGGGGCACGTAGATGGTCGAGGGTGGTGAAAAGCGTTTCAAACGAAAGCAAAAAATGGGGCCCCAGCTTTTTAAGAACAGTCGACCATATGGAAATACGAGTCTTGAGCAGTGCGTGTGAAGAGATGACTCGAATCGGAGGGGTGACATGACTCGACGTGCTCAGAGGCGCGCTCTCAGCTGTCCAATGCAAATGTCGCGGCAAGCAACCCACACGAGGGCAGCACTCACACCCGTGACGTCTGAGCATGCTGCACCACAGCAGTCACATTGTCACTTCTGGGAAGCTCTGGTAGAACATCCATTGAATAAAAAATGCGTGCGGAATTCTTGCTGAACTGTGGACCATGCGGTTCTTGCAGGAAGTCTGCCGTACCAGTGCCCCGCCCCGTCTTGATGCTCCGACCACCTCTCAAAAGTGCGCTGAATCGTGAATTGTGAATGACTCGACAGCTGAGCCAGCGCGGTGTACGCAGCAGCGCACGCAACGATACGACGGGCCTCGGCATGCGCGCTTGGAATGCCGTCAAGTTCCATGGCGGTGTGCCCTGCTTCACATACAGTACATCCATCCATT